GTCCCTGTGGATCCCCTTCAGTCCCCCTGGATCCCCTTCACTTCCTCCGTCCCCCTGGATCCCCTCAGTGTCATTTGGCAGAATCTGTCCGGATTGCATCAAATATTTGTCTCATGAAAGCCGCCCTCTCCTGACCCCAATGTTCTTTGTACACAGCGTCTGTCGCCGGACTGTGAGGACCAGATTCGCGTCATCATTCAGGAGACCGCCCTGGATTACCGGCTCGATTTCAGGGAGTTTATGGGGTGCAATGGGGGGAGGGTGGGGGTGATCAGGGAGTTTATGGGGTGCAATGGGGGGAGGGTGGGGGTGATCAGGGAGTTTATGGGGTGCAATGGTTATCGCATTTGTATACTGAATACACTCAGGAGTCTTGAAAAGAGGACTTCTGCTATGACGGGGCATTTCGGACGTTGCATTGTTTGCAGTCAGCCCGATCCTAGAGGATGAGAGCGCCCCAACCTGAAGAGAAGTCCACTAAATGTTTATTATTCACAACAAGGGGGTCACCAGGTATGGCCAACGTACACATCTGGGTCCCGCACCCTCCCATGTTTAGCCATCCTAGAACACGGGAGCCTCCTCCGTGAGTCATGAGAGGCAATGTTTTAGGTCTAAGGAGGGTATACCCCCGGGGTGGGCAAACTCCGGCCCTCCAGCTGTGTGTGGGGTGGAACTACAAATCCCATTGTGTATATGTCTCTGGGAGTCCTATCTTTTGACCGTAGAGTATTGCAGCACCTCGTGGGATTTGTAGTTGCACCGCAGCTGGAGGGCTGGATTTTGCCTAATACACTCTGTGGTACCCATAAGATGTAGGAGAGAAGGTAAGAAGGACTCTTATTGAGAGTGGCAGGGGTACCGGGCTCTGGGTATTGGCGGTTCACAGCTTAAGCCCTCGTTCACACCTGAACGTTTTGTAGCGCGTTCTACGCTCGACAAACGCTCTACAAAACGCTCAAAAATATAAATCGCATTGTATTCAATGGGTCTCGTTCCCACCTCGGCGTATTTCCGCCCGTCCCTAACGCCCTACAAAACGGCCCGCGCCTGAAAAGGTCCAGGTACTACTTTGGGCCGTTTTGTTGCGCGTTTCCATTGGGATACAGCCAAGTAGCCCTCGGAAACGCGCGCCTGTCGCGCGACTTTTTTTTACCGCGAATTGCGGTAAAAAAAAAGCGGAGTCTCTGCACACTATCCAGCAGGACCAGGTCTAGAAAGCCTCTCCATATTGTGGTCAGATGCTATCTGCGTCTCTATTGGTTGGAGGGGTGGACTGGTTTCCACTGCCAGGAGATGGGGATTCTAGCTGCTCGGAATCGGTGGCGGGTTCTCTTTGTTTCATATTCAAGCCGCTTGGGTTATAATGGAAGTTTTAGAGCTGATGGCATGGTAAGTAGGGATGAAGCCGCATGGTAAGTAGGGATGAAGCCGCATGGTAAGTAGGGATGAAGCCGCATGGTAAGTAGGGATGAAGCCGCATGGTAAGTAGGGATGAAGCCGCATGGTAAGTAGGGATGAAGCCGCATGGTAAGTCGGGATGAAGCCGCCATACAGGGGTATGTTACCCTTCATTCCCAGCGCATGTTTCGCCGGGTCCTCATAGCTTCTGGCGAGGATATTATTGTGACAAGCGAGAAAGTTGCGTTGTATAAATTCTCCTGAATTTCCCCTCTGACAGATAAACAGCCTGTGCGGGGAGGAGGCCGCGGCCCAGGAACCCACCGGGCAGGTAGAGGAATGTCTGAAGATGAACCTGCTGAAGATAAAGTCTAACGGCTGCAAGAAGGTGAGAAGTGGCGGCACAGCCCTAGAGAGAGTTCCGGTATTTCATGGTTAACAGGCAGCCATAGAGTCCACGGGGCCCGCCCGGGGTTTCCTTTCCACTGGGCCCGACCGGCCGGGGTTTCCTTTCCACTGGGCCCGACCGGCCGGGGTTTCCTTTCCACTGGGCCCGACCGGCCCGGGGTTTCCTTTCCACTGGGCCCGACCGGCCCGGGGTTTCCTTTCCACTGGGCCCGCCCGG